TTATAGCCTACAGCGGAAGGCATTCTACCTTTAAACAAGAATTGTCGAAGATCGGGTTGTTTAGTTGCCTTGGATTTGTTTGAATTTGGTGAATCTTTTGACATTACCTAATTCAATTGAAAATTATATATCAATTTCCACAACCACATCATTACATAATAACAAAACCTAAGATTCTAATTTCTAAATTTCTAATTCAACTATACATTTCAATAATTTAAATTCACAAAAACAGGGGAAAAAAATAATAAACTATAAAACAAATTTTCAATACCAATAATTCAAAGACTAAACATTTCAATTTTCAATAAGTTCAAAACTTCAATACCCACAAATCAACAAATGACAAATCCACAATAATTCTCAATCGAAATTAAACAAGTAATAAGTTGATATATACAACACTTTCATCAATTAAACAAGTAATAAGTTGAAATTCGTCTTCAATACCCACAAACGACAAATCGTCAAATCCACAATAATTCTCAATCGAAATTAAACAAGATTAACAAGTAATAAGTTGATATATACAACAATTTCATCAATTAAACAAGTAATAAGTTGAAATTCAGATTTACATACCTCCATTGATTTGGGTGAATTGGGTTTAGCAAAGACCGGAAGACCGAAGACAACAAGACACCCGACACCGACACCGCACACCGGCGACACGAACTGTCGTCTGTCGAACTCCAAATCGCGAACTGGTGATTTGGGTGAACAAAACCGGCGACGGGAGCAGGGGCGGAGACAATTAAGGGCGGAAGACCGAAGACAACAAGACACCCGACGCCGCCACTGGATGGGAGAAGACGCGAACGAACCGACAAACGGACGAAGTGCCGCTGACAAGCCTGACTGACTGAGAACTCCAAGTCTTTTCGAACTTCGAAGAGAGAGAAATTGAGAATTGAGAAAGTTGGGGTTTAATTTTGCAATTTCTTTTCTTCTTCTTTCTGTCTCAGCGTGTTTCTTTCAGTTTTTTTTTTTAATTATTTTTTCTTATTTTTTTTTTTGAAAATGGGGGGAGAAAATGGGGGGACAAGTGTCCCCACATGTCCCTTAATTGGCTCCGCCCCTGTTCACTAGAAGGTGTATTTTTACCCAATTTCCCAGCGAAAAATTAAAAAAAAAAAAAATTAACTCGTAAAATTCAGAAAATATACTTCAATTTTTATGATTGAACTAATAGGAGGAGCAATTGTCTCCTTTTTTGGAAGCTTAACTTTTATCATTATAAATTTGTAATTGAAAATTTAAATTAAATAGAAATTAGATGAACACACATATCTTGAAATTGGCCATAGAAGATGAACTATTGATCAAAACAAGAAAATTTTGTTAAAAGTCAAGATTTAATCGAAAAAAAAACAACGAAATTGAAGAACAAAGAAAGAAAGATAAAGACGAGCAGAGGAGAGAGAAGAGAGGGAAGTGCAGAGGAGAGAGAAGGAGAGCAGAAAAAGAGGATAGAAAGTTAGAAACCCAGGAGGAGAGAGAAAAAATAGAAACATAAAACTTCCGCACGTATATGTCGGGTGTCAACCACCGCCATTCAATAAATTATTGTAAACCCGTTTTTTTTAAACTTTTATATTCTTTGCTAAAACATCAATAACTTTGGCCATAAATTTGAACCAATAATGTATATGATATAACAAGAAAATGCTACCCCTATCAGTCTTTCTTGTTTATGTTTGAAATTTTTATTTTGAACACAAGTTCTAATTAACTACGAATAATCTCCATTGCATTTTAATTTGTTATTGATCTTTATAATTGTAAATGGTTTTATCATATAGGAAAATTTGATTCTAATAATCCAACCTTTGCGTGATTTTTTTTATTAAACCGACCTTTTGATTATTCCACAATAATCCAAGCTTTAAAGGGTGTTCTATTCTATTAGGCCAAGCAGGTCACTTGACCTAAAATAACAGGTCACCTGCCATGTGTCATGTTTTTATTTGTCCCCTTAAAATATATTTTTCAATTTATTTTTTTAAAAAACTTTTAAATAAAAAAAAAACCATTTTTTTCCTTCCTTTCTTCTTCCTCTCCCCTTCCACCTCCATTAAAATGCCACACAACTGTAACCCCCAAAATCGGACCACCTCCATATTTGACCTCAATAACCCTACCCATCTCAATTACCACCTCCACCGCCACGCAGCTTATCGCCACCACTTGAAAGCCCCACCATCACGCACCACTTGAAATCCCGACCCCTCCACCTGAAATCCCAGAGTTATTATCACTGGGAAACCAATTTCAGAGCCCTAAAGGCAAAATGCAGCTCTAACAAAAGCATATCAGCTTCAAAATCCCCAGAAAATAATTTGCAAGAAAAAAAAAAATGTTCTTGAAATTATCTCCTCAAAAAGCATCTAATTTTCTGATTTATAGTTTAAAACATGAACAATGCCAATAAATAGAATTAACCTTGCAAAAAAAATAAAAATTAAAAAAAAACGAATCAAGGAGGAACCACCGTCAAAGTTGCTGAGAAATCCCCGGTTCACCATCCCTCCGCCTGAAATCCCGACCCGACCGCCATTCCTCCACCCCACCGTCACCCCTTTACCCGAATACCCCACCCCACTGTCTTTCCTCCACCTTAAAACCCAAAATCTGGAAACCCAAATCCCTTCTTCTTCCCAAACCCCACTCTCCAAACCGAATTCAAAGCATTTTCTTTTGATTTCTAAACTAAAGGATCTGACTTAAAGTTCTTGGTTTCTAAAGCTTTAATTTTATGAGGTGGGTTTCGAGGGGTGGTTGCAGGGAAAGAGGGGCGGCAAGAGGGTGGTCAAAAATCGGAACAGGGAGGGGGAGGGACAGCAGGCCCGGCGCTTGGTCATGGGTGGCCATGGAAGGGGGGAAGGGAAGGGAAGGGTAGGCCATGGAAGGGGAAAGCTTTTTGGCTGGGATTTTTTATTTTTAACCTTATTTTTTGTTAAATAAATTGAAAATAGTAATAATAAAAAAATATTTACCTGAAGAACAGGTAGTAGGTCACTTTGACCTAATAGAATAAAATACCGCCTAAAGCTTGGATTATTGTGGAATAAATGAAAGGTCGGATTAATAGAATTGGATTGCGAAAAGGTTGGATTATTATAATCAAATTTTCCTATCATATATATATGTCTCGATGTATATGTATTACTCAATCAATAATCAATCAATCATTAATAATTAATAATTAATAACTATATACTTAAAGACACACAAGCAATGACACGTGTCGTATTCTGGTGTGTCTTTAATATATTTTTTTAAAAAAAACAATTTGAAAAAAAAGAGAATATATGAAAAATATTTTCTTCCAAAGATTAGGAAAAAAAATCGTAATATATCCCAACATAGATATATCTAATAATACACAAAGTTTCATATGCGGTTGTCCGTACCGTACGGCCAACCGTAATATAATTTTTTATTTTTAAATTTTTTTTTTCTCTCTCTTCTCTATCTCCTATTCTCTTTCCTGTTTTCTTCTTCCCACTTAAACACACCCCTTTCCCAAACTCTCTTCTATTTCTCTCCCCTATTTTCATCTTCTCTAGTTATTCCACTCAAATTAAACAAGTTAAATGGAGCATCGGTGGTAGGGGGTAAGGAAGCTCCTCGTACTCCGTCGCCGAAAAACAAGCTAGAGGTTTTAAGGCCAAATTCAGCCATGAAAACTCTAGATCTAGAGTTTTTATGGCTGAATTTGACCTTTTTAGCCATATTTCAAGTGAAATTCGAAGCCAATATTAATTTTGAGGTATTTGTTCGATTTAATTTCTTTTAAAAACCAATTTTAATGGTTGTTAGTAGTACGGGAGTTGGTGGTGGTGTGGTGGAGTTTAAGGTTTTGAGGACGTCGGATGAGAAAAGTTGGTGTTGGTGTTGGTGGTGGTTACGGTAGGTTTGGGTGTGGGTTAATGGTTACTAGGTCGGTCAGGTGTTATTAGGTCGGGGTTACTAGGTCGGTCAAGGTTTACTAGGTCGGGGATTGCTAAGGTTTACTAGGTCGGGGATTGCTAAGGGTTACTAGGTCGATTAGGGGTTACTTGGGGTTACTAGGTTAGGGGTTACTAGGTCGGTCAGGGGTTACTAAGGGATACTAAGTCAGTCAGGGGTTACTTGGTCAGGGGTTACTTTGTCTGGGGGGTTAATAGAGAGGTCACTTAAGTAGGGTTACTTGAGGGGTTACTGATATTTTTACTTATATAAAAATTTATAAAAAGAAGATAGTTTCAATAAAAATATATAGAATGTAATCGTAAAACATAAAATATAAAATATACGAGTAATATTTTAAGTTGCTTGATTTGGCATAAAATAAGAAATAGATTGGATAAAATTATATTCTATATTTAAATATAGTTTTAAATTAATACTCCGTAATAAAGAGTGAATAACTGTGCATTGCACGGGATTTAACCTAATACTAATAATAAAAAAAAGGACATTTTGTGAGAAACTACCTTTTAAAGCGATTTTTTTGCGAGAAACTACCTTATAAAAAAAATGTTGTAAAAAACTACCTTATAAAAGCTAAATGTTGTAAGATACTACCCTTGGTCGGAAAGTGAGAGTTGAATAAATTTTTCCGGCATTGACCAAGTCATGTGCCGGTCACATGACATTTAATTCATCTTGGGTATTATATGGATAGGCTCGGGGAAAAAATGGGGAAAGATGAAGTAAATGTCACGTGACCGGTACATGACTAGGTCAACGGCAGAAAATTAAGTCAACTCTCACTTTCCGACCAAGGGTAGTATCTTACAACATTTAGCTTTTATAAGGTAGTTTCTCGCAAAAAAAAAAAAAATGTTTTAAAAGGTAATTTTCACAAAATGTCCTAAAAAAAAAATATTTTATTGGATTAAATGCTTTGATTGATTAAATACATAACACTATAAATGCTCAAATGCTTGTAATGATTTAATCACACTCAAATCCTTACATAAAAATTGGAATTATGACATACACGCTCTAAAAGATTTTTTTTTTTTTTTTTTTTTTTTTTTTTTTTGGAAAAAGGATACATAATAGATTAAGAATACAAACCTATACTTGAAATTCTAAAATAAAAGGATCTTGTATCGTATCATATCATCCCATCATGATGTACATGCGGTCGAAATGACAATACGATACATATGTCTTTCTCTTGAGTCAGTACTAGACGGAGTTATCAACTTATAAAGGATAAAGCACAATGACAGACCTCAAACCTAGTATAGGAAGGATCTTGTAATCACCAAAACCAGCTTTAACAAACAGTACGTTTTTTACATTCTTCTTCAGTTCTTTCTTTTCCTTCTCCAAAGAGTGACATCATCTCAATGTCAAATAAAACTTGGGCATTTGAATGCTTTGAATTCTTAATTTGGGGCTCCACCACAATATCAATGATAATCACCTTCCCTCCTTGACTTTTGCTGGGAATTGCCTCTTTGCATTGTTTTAGTATTTTAATGCATTCATTGTCGCTCCAATCATGTAAAATCCACTGCATATAGTCATAAAATACAAACATTAGGCTCACGTTATTCATGCTATTGAGGATTTTTTTTATATACTACTACCGACAATAGTTAGCGGATATGATACAATCTACAAATGGCAAGGGGATGTGGTTTCTTAGGTTACACATACTAAAATTATAAAATTTTTAATTCTCCCTTCATTTCAAAATATAAAGTATGTTTCTCAATTTGCACGAGAATTAAATAAAGTCAATGAACGTGTAATATTGTACTCCTTCATTGCTCCTATTTTAATTTTTATATAATAAAACTTTAAGAAACTTGGACCAAAAATTCTAAGTATTACATCCGTTTCATAGTAATAAAATAGTTTATATTTATATTAAAATATTGTTAGATTTGTTTAAATGTATATTTAGTTTTATAATTCGTAGTACCATTTTTTTTTTTCATTAAGATACAATGCGTCTTGAATGTGGTTGGCCAAAATATGTGACAGCTTGTAAAAGAACAAAATAACCTCTATAAAACTAACTAAATAATTCTTGTAATACTGATCAAGCAGCCCTACACTTACTAAGTAACTCTTATAACATAAATTAAGCAAAACAAATAATTTTTTTTTTTGATGTTAGGAATGATACACATTATGGTGCCGGTTTCTGTTTCACAAGTGGAGACAAAATTAAAATGCATTTAATACGTGCATTTTGTAATATTATATTTTTTGAAAGTAAAAAAAAAATATATAATATTACAAAATGCATTAATATTATAATATTACAAAAAGTATAATAATAATACTACATTGTAATATTATATGTAATGTATTTAAATTAATTAATAGATATTAAATAATAAAATAAAATGTACAATAAAATTCTTAGACTATAATTCTAAATGTTTAGTGAATGGTTTCAAGACAGAAGGAAATTAACTATCTTTTACTATAGTTATATTATTACTTTGTATTACTTTTTTTTTATTGACACGTATTCCTTTTTAGTAAGTTTAATTTTTAGTTGACACATTTCCTTTTTTGAGTATGTTTAAGTTTTAGTTGACACACTTACTTTGTCATTCTCTCTCTTTTCTCTCCATAAAATGCACATGTGTCTAAATCAAACATGCCAACTAAATAGAAATAAAAAAAAAGTATATAGTAATTTTCCTAAACTTCATTCCCTTGTATATCCAATTCCTACCTTTCATCGCCCTATTAAATTTATAGAATCATTAGAAAAAATAAAAATGACGAGTCATGTATTACATGCCACTAAAGAATAAGTGCCACATAAGATTATGACAAATTTTTAGCCAATTGTGACCTTTACTATCATCCAATAAAATATATCTAAATCAAGTTCTTTTTAGGAAAGGAATACAAAATAAAATAATTTTAAACAAATCCTGATGAATAAAATTTAACCTTAAAGTAATTTATTTGGGAAATTTTGAATTTTAACACCACAAAAAAACTCAAAAATAATTTTTTATTTTTTAAACAAAAAAAATTATTTTAACACCACAAAAAATTTAGAAAATAGGATATTACCACCACCTATCAGTTTTCGTCCAAATATCCTGTAAGTGTGGTCCATTATGCCACGTGTTGTCATATTATTAATTTTAAAAAACAAAACAAAAACCCTAAAACTAAATCAGCCACCCACTCTGCCACTGCTGACAGCTCGCGTCGTCGCCGCCCTATCCCAACCTAACACCCTCGTTCCCGAACCCAGCCACCGGAATCTCCACCCTTTTCCTAAAATCGATAACCTACCCCAATGGCCACAAAAAAACATGTGGTCGTTTTTCAAACCACAGAAACGACCACCATAAACGACAGCTAAGTGTCAAAAACGACCGGTTTAGGGCCTAAGTGGTTGATTTCGACCATAAACCAGTCGTTTTCGACCCTTACAAGCCTAATTGGTGGTCGTTTTTGGGTGGTCTTAATAACGGCCGCCCGTTTTAAGCGGCCATTAGGGACATTTAGTCAGTTTTGGGGATGGGGAGGGGGAGGGGGAGGGAAAGGGGCTGAAGTTTACGGTTACTAGGGCTAGGAACGAAGGGTATCGGGTGGAGCATTCATTTGTCGGCGCTGCCCAACCAACAGTGGGGATGGGTTGGCTGGATTAGTTTAGGGTTTTGGTTTTTGTTTATATTTCTTTTATTATTTTTGTCCAATAATATGTTGACACGTATGTATTGTAGACCCCAATAACGGATTCCATTCATGAATTTTTTAAGTGGTGGTATAAGCCAATTTTTTTTTTAAAAATTTTGTATTCTTAAAGTAAAAGAGGTTTTTTATTTTTTTTTATTTTTTTTTTTTTTTTTTTGTGTATTGTTAAAAATCAAATTTATTTGGAGAATAAGAAAAAAAAATATATATACAACCTCCAATTTATTTTAGTTGTAACTTTGTAGTATTATTTGAGAGATATGAAATATATTATAAAGTTGCAACTCAAAAATATCGGAGGTAGTAATTGAGATTTTAACATGACTATGCACAAAATAAAAACACTACTTTTATTATATATTATGTGAATATTTGAGTATATTTTATTATTTGTGAGATATAAAAAAAAATTAAAAATTGTACATAATATGTACGGACGTATTTTATATTGATTAGAAGCATGCATGGCATTTTAGGAAAGTTAAAATGAAATTCAGACAATACATGTATTTTAATTTGTAAGACAAAGAGAGTATAAAAGCATATTTTTCAGCGGAAAGGTACACTAAAAATACAATACGAAGTATGTCATATTAAAATGAACAACAAAAAGCTATAAGGACCTGCTCTTTATGTCTTATTTTTGCTGAAATTTAATTTTTTTTATTTAAAAGTTAAATTATTTTTATTAATTAAAATTTATTTTTACTAATCCTTTTATATTTGTTTTTTAAAATAATTGATTTTTTTTAACTGATCAAAGTTAGTTTATTGAACTGTGATTATTTTATTGTGTTGAAATTAATTTTTTTTTCTTAAATATAACTCATTTTTCGAAGTGAAGAAAACTTGATCTTAGTGTATCCATTGTATACGTGGTAGTGATCGCATATCGTTACGTTGTTTTAGTCCATACAAAAATAAAAGCTAGATGTAAAAGAAAAAAATAAATAAATAAAAATAATAGCACCTCACCTTAAGCAAGACAGCATCAGCAAGAGGGACCTTCATAAACATATTACCAGCAACGTAAATCACGTTGCCATTATTATCATTCCCTTGTAAACCGTCAACCACATGTGGCAACTCAAGTACAGTACATACCATCGATGGATAGGCTTCGGATATGGCCTTAGCAGTCGTCCCATTGCCGCCGCCAACGTCGACCAACGTATCCACTCCGTCAAGTAATCCCATGAATTGTTTATTTGTCACCAATAGGCTTGTAACTAATCGAGAATCGCTTTCCATAGCACTGTTAAAATACTCGCTCAACAACGGTTCATGGCGAGCATGCTCCCAAAACTTCCTTCCGTGAGCTATTTGGTAGGGAGATTCATACTCAACCTCACTTTGAAACCAATTGCTTAGATGAGAAGATTGTTCCGTTAGAAAAGAAAGCGTTGTAAGAGAAAATGGAGCTTGCGAAAGAGGGTGATCTTTCAATAGAAGTTGGGAGCTCAATGTAAGAGCAAATCCTTCTTCGCCGTTGAGTAAGGTTTTTATTGAGAAGAATTTGGAAGATACAAGAAGGCGCATTAAGCGCGAAAGAGAGGTAATTTTGTTCGGGAGGATAGGAAGTGAGTTGGCTAGCTCTTTAAGAGTCATTGGTTTGCCATGTTTATGAATGGTGTCTGGAATGCGTAGTTCAATTGCACATTTTAAGGCCATGGATTTGAGAAAGTAGAAAACATGACTCCATATATGAGCTTGTGCTTCTAGTAAATGCTCTTTTGTTTCTTCTTTGGCGTAGACGGGTGAATCCATTTGTTTTGATGTTTTTTCTAGAATGATTGATGGTATGTTGGTACTTGGTAGTGTAGCTCTAACAACTTTATAATGGTCGTCTAGGTATACTCCCTCTATTTATTTTTATTACTTTTTTTTACAGTCATGGTTAAATCACTTTTATGGGCATGTGGTTTGAATTCATATATATGCAATTAGCAATAATCACATATTCTAAAATTATTGTTTAACTACCTGATATGTTCAATTTATATAGTATTTTACCCCCGTCCCTTAGTCATAATTAGTAGTGTTTTTGGCTCTTTAGAGCCACTTTTATTACTAATTGGTGTTTTCGTAGATTTGGTTGACTTTTGCAGGGATTTGCACTTTAGGAGCATTTTCCCAAGATATTATGGAGCAACTACGAGCATTGGAGAAGCACGACTAGTTTTTATAGCTCAGGGCCGGTTAGAGCCATCGAACCAGTTATTAAGGGCTCGGTATATGTGATACCGGGGCATTTGGACCGAGTATTCAAGACCCGAAGAGGAAATCCAGATTGGCCAGAAGAATTGGAGCCCAATCAAAATCCAAATAGTGGCCAAAGAGTGCTGCCCGGCCAGGCACGAGATTAGTGTCTGAGGGAAAAAGGCGCGCCCGATCAGGCGCGGGTTATTATTAGGGGTTAATTATAGACGTTTATGTTTGTTTTAATTTAGGATTCTTACTTAGTATAAATACTTTTCCGTAAAACGAGTTTAGGATCTTCTTTTACTCTTTCTTAATTCTTTCTTGGATTTTCTCTCTCTACTTAGCTTTTAGATTAGTTTCTCGCTCATATACTTTGTTCTTAACTCTATTCTTAATTCCAGATTTCTTTGGTAACGATTTTTCTTCTCTTAATCTTAGTTATTTATTTTATTCCTTTGATCATGTCTTGTTTTATTGCTTTGATTAATTTAGTTTAATTATGTGTGAGTAGTTCTATTTTTAGGGTTTGTGGGGATCCATAAATAATATGAAGGGGTAATTTATTGTTGTTAATTGTCAATGCTAGATTATTTTCCTATTGATTGATTTAATGCTCTGTGACTAGATTTGCGTAGATCTTTTATGCATGAGTTTGACAATATTGATTCGAGATTCGACAGATGAGAATTAATGTTTAGGTCTAGTTTCAATAGGCAGGTTAATTTATAAATGGTTTAGTCGAGATTCGAGAGATGAGATTTAATACCGGTAAATTAATTGTGTGATTGTAATACGTAGCGAAAGCCCTTTATGATCTGATTAATGTATGCATTGATGATTGATTATTATGTTTTACCCCGGAATATTATTTATTGGTGAACCTACAAGAAAATAACCTTTTCGCAGCGATTATTTTAACCTTTAGTACCGATTGTAATTGCAACAAAAAGCTTTCCCAACGAATGGTCATTCGATACAATATCCCCCGTTGCCTTAGCCTTTAGTAGTGGTTTTCAATATCACTAGGGTTGGCCTCAATAATCGATACGAAAAACTACATCCAACCGTGGTGATTATTGTAGCGATTACAATCTCTATAAATGTTTAACTCATTTTCTTAAAAAAAAAAAAAACATGCATATGATCTTTACAAGATTCGAACATGCAACCTCAAACTCTTATATTAAATGTTTCACCAATAAGCTATGACACATTTTATGTATTCTTTGTCAAACAATATTTATATATCTAGTGTTGAAAAGGCTTTTCGTATCGATTTTTAGGATTTAGTGGCGATTGTAACTGATACAATTTCTCAAAATTATATAAATGTGTAAAAATAGTGTGGATATGTATTATTATGTTTTCCGTATCGATTTTATATGGGAAAACCATGGCGATTGTAATATGATACCACTTCCTTAATTATTTCACAAAAATACTTGAATATTGTAGCGAATGTACAATCGCTACGAAATAATCGCTACGAAAAGACATTTTTCTTGTAGTGATCCTATGCCTTTTATTCATTGTTTTCTTCTTATTCTTAATCTTCGTAGTTTAGTTTTCTTTGATTATAATATTTTGGTTACTGTATAATCTAGATTATATTAATTAATTAGGAATAGAAAGAATCGTTTTTCTGTGGATTCGACCCTACTTCCCTATCTACATTAGTTAGAGGATTTAGGAATTACTTTTGTTTAGGTGATATGACTTTAGCCTGTCAAAATTTGGCGCCGTTGTCGGGGAAACGATTTTATTTTTGTTTTTAATTATTTTTGTAGTCTAGGTTATTTCTTTTTGTCTCAAAGAACGTTAGTTCTTTGAGGCAAGTCTCATATTTTCTTTTAGTTTTCTTTGTTTATGCCAAGGTGTTCCAGTCAGGTTACATCCCATTCGATCCTAAGATCGAACGATTCTTCCATAGACAGAAGAATCTTTACAAGCAAATTCTGGTGATAATAATAATCACCGAGATCCTCCAACTGATTCTAGTGATTCAGAGGTATCATTAGATCCAGAATCAGAGATGACGGCTCTAAAGAAGCTTAGTGATTAATCACAACCAAAGCTTACAGATTTTCCACACCTTACTCCTACTCCAGCTCTTGATGGGGTACAATTTGAGATTAAACCCCAATTTATAATGATGATAGAGAGGAAGCAATTTAGTGGAGCTAAGGGTGAAGACCCAAATCTTCACATTGCAGACTATTGTCAGTATTGTAATACCATCAGGCAAGCTGGGGTCACACAAGACCAAATCAGGGAGATTCTCTTTCCTTTTTCTTTAACTGGAAAAGCCAAATTATGGTTTAATGGTTTAAATAGAACTGCACTTGGTATAACTGACTGGAAAACTCTTGTTTTGAATTTTTATAACAAATATTATCTTGCAGAGAGAATGGCCGTACTACGAAGTGCAATTCAAAAATTTGCCCAAGAAGCCGATGAAACTTTATATGAGGCTTGGGAGAGGTTCAAGGACCTACAAAGAGAATGCCCCCCCCCCCATAATCTGGCACAATGTCATTGGAAATTCATCTAGAATAATCTTGGAATCTGCAGCTAGTGGGAGGTTTATGAATCTTAATGTTGATGATGCAGGTCAAGTTATCGAAGATATGGAGATACATAATTCCCAATATGGGAATCCTAGAGGCTTTGCTAACAAGGAGAATCATAGTGTTGACTCTGTATCCTTTTTGCAAGCTCAATTAACCTCTATCTGCCAGAAATTAGATAATTTTAGCACTGCTAATGTAGCTAATGTTTCCGCAATTAATAATAATGCTAATGAGGCTTTCTGTGAAAATTGTGGAATTTTAGGTCATTGGGAGCAAGATTGCAGGAGTTCCGTGGAGCAAGTTAATGTCTTTCAAGCTTATAGGAAGAATAACCCATACTCCAACACCTACAATCCTGGGTACCGGAATCATCCGTACCTTTCCTATCGGAGCACCAATGTCCAAAATCCACCACAAGAACAGGTGCCACAACAACAACATCAGAAATATTACCACGCCAATGTTGGCTAGAAGAACCAACCACAACAATCCTCCTCATCTTCCGACCCTGCTTTGGTAGAAAATAGAGCGATGCTGGTTAATATGCAGAAGCACAAGTAGAGTAGGGATGCCCAAATTGATTCAATCTTAGCACACAATAAAATTGTAGATAATCAAATTGCGCAACTTTCCGCTGCTCTACAAGTCCGTCAACAGGGAACTCTGCCAGCACAACCGACCAGGCCTATGGATCAAGCCTATGCAATTACTCTAAGGAGTGGTTCAAACTATGAAGGGCCCCCTATGCTCAGACACGATGAACCTATTTAAATAAATAATGCTAATCTTGATTCCATTAAACCTGGCAATGTAGCTAATAGCCCTACAGGGATAAAGCATAGTACTAATATATCTAATTCTACATTGCAGGGTACGACTCCAGAGAAGGGGGCCACTCCAGATAAGAGCAATAATGCTCCAAAGCCAAACTTCCATTCCCCAATCGTCATTTGAAAACAAATTTGGATAAGCAGTTTGGTAAGTTTCTGGAGATGGTAAAAGATTTGCAGGTAACATTTCCCTTCACTGAATTAATTACACAAATTCCTGCATATGCAAAATTTATGAAAGAAATATTGACAAGAAAAAGGTCTATTAGTGAGGTAGAGACTGTAGCTTTCACTGCAGAGTGTAGTGCCGTACTTTAAAATAAATCTCCACCTAAATTAAAATATCCGGGTAATTTTTCTATCCCTTGTCATATTGGCAATCTAATGATCGATAATGCATTGTGTGATTTGGGTGCTAGCGTTAGTGTTATGCCATTATCTGTGTGTTCCAAGTTAAATATGGGTAAATTAAAAGCTACCAATATTACTCTACAAATGGTCGACCGTTCTTTCAAATACCCCTTACGTGTTTTAGAGGATGTTCCCGTTAGAGTAGGTAAATTTTACATACCCGTTGATTTTGTTGTTCTTGATATGGCTGAGGATATGCAAACCCCAATTATTTTGGGTAGACCATTCCTCAACACTTCAGGAGCAATTATAGATGTGAGAAGTGGCAAACTGACGCTATCATTAGGGGACGATAAAATTATTTTTAATCTTAATAATATCCTTAAAAGCCCCATGACATAGGAGAAGTGCTTTAGTGTTAGTGTGGTTCAAAGTTATTCTAACAAGCCCCAAGCTCTTGTAAAAGATCCCTTGGAGGCGGTATCTTGTGTTGCATCATTTTCAGATGAGATAGACAGATGGCAGAAAGAACTTGATGCAATAGAAAGAGCCCTCTACACTGTCGGTCTTGGCTTTGAGGATGAAAAGGTGGAATCAATCAAGCAAGTTGTGAAAATTGAGCCTACGGTGAGTGTTCCGCCATATCGAGCTGCAAGTGCTAAATGCAGCGACAATTTGAAGCAACCCTCGATCGAAGAGGGATCTTTAGTGCGTAGCATTGAAGAACCCCAGTCCAAGCCAAAGAGGATCCACCAGATAAGGTGAATTGGCGTCCTACAGGGTATGTCAAGAAGCCGCGTCGTAGCCTAAACACCGCTCGACCGGGTGAGAAACCCCCCGACCAAGCGTTTGGTCAAGGGTCCTAATTCTTGTATTTGGTAAGAAGGTCTTGCGGGACCTAGATAAACCAGTGCTTTGCGCGAGGCAACCCGTATTTTAATGCTTTTTAGACTAGTCTTTCTTTTTTTTTTCTTATGAGAGGAGAGATGGGGGAATTTAATGAGTTTTATGAGTTTGTACAGGTTTGAAGGAAAAGAGTTAGCCAAAAATTGAAGAATTGAACAAAATAAAAAAATCGTCCAATTAGCCTCGGGCTCGACCGGGCGCGAGAGCAAAGGTTGAAAAAGTTCAATTTTCGCCCGACCGGGCGCAAAAATTGACGTATACGGACATATTAGATCGCCCAACCGGACGCGAGTGATGAGTAAATTCTGGGAGTTAGATCGCCCGACCGGGCGAATGGCACACGACCGGGCGCGAGAGTGGACGAAAAATCGGGCATTCGATCGCCCGATCGGGCGAATGTCGCCTGACCGGGCACGAGAGCAGCAACTTAATTCATAACCAGATCGCCCGATGGGCGACGTGCCGCCCGACCGGGCACGAGGTGCCCGTCCACCCTTATCTTATTCTTTCTTCTTTCATTTCTATTTTCCTCCATAACTTTTTCTCTCTAAAACTCTAATTTTCTCTACCTTCTCTCTAAGTTTCCTCCTTCATTATTCACCCAAATCCAAATATTTTTAGATATTCTTAATCCTCTCTTTATTTTCTACAATTCTACACAAAAATCTTCAAGTTCCATTCAAATAATTTTTAGACCCATTTTCAAAAATTCTCAAAAATGGCGGCAAAGAGGGCAGGAACACTTCTATGGGGAAGCTCGAGCTCAAGTCAGCAATACGACCCGGCGTTGCAACTACCACATTGGCCGACGATCAAGATAGCAACCCCGGAACAGAAGGAAAAGCTTGAGCAAATCTACGGGCGTGAGGTAATTCCTTCACGGTGGTTACACCGCCCTACTCTAGAAGCGTTAGGACTATATGATTATGTTAGGAGATTTTTGAACGATATTGGTATGAGGAAATTTGTTGATATGCATTTTGCCACTTATCGTGAATTAACCTGTGAATTTCTTTCCTCTTTTCATGTTCATCACCATAAAACTGGGCCAAAATTGATTTTTAGGTTAAATAATAGAAATATTACTTTAACTTTTGTTGATTTTTGTAAATTGTTTGATTTAGAATCTGATTTTCCTCACCAATGGCATGCTGAATACAAAATGGATGCTATCGATACTGCTTTGACTGGGTTGCCGTCGCCTAACGCCCAACATGCTAGTGCTAAACTAATCCATCACCTCGTTCCCAAAATATGGCAAAGGTTTGCAGGTGTTAGCTTTTTAGGTCGGAACGAGCCCCAAAAATGTCAAACCAATGAACTTGCTGTTATTGAACATTATGTGTACGGGTTCGGGAAACTTAACATAGCTAGGTATATCATCCATCACTTAGCTAGGCATTCCATGGCTAGTAACGCCGCTAGTACCCCCCATCCGTCTAGGTGGCCTTATCACTAGAATAGATATTAAGAAGGCCGAATTTGTAGAGACTAGACCCCACCAGATGATCAACTGTGGACCTGATACCTACATGACCACTAGGTACATAGAGGAGTTGGGTTGGGTACGATCGGATGGTGAGCAGACACCCCACTGGTGTATTAGGACTGGGATCGAGCAGTCATTGCCCATCTTTTCCCTACCTAGTCCTTAGTTAACCACCTTTCCCCCCGGGCAAGCATCTTACACGTACAATCTTTTAGTTGCCAAGGCTAGGGTGCAAGCACCACCAGTACCACCACCGGTTCCACCACCTCAGCTTGAGCCCGAGGTAGCATTTTCTGCACCTCGCATGTCTCACTCTGTCCCCCACGTTGACTCTGACCCAGTTTGGGACCTTTAGAGTATATGTCAGGCTTTAGGACATGTCGAGCATTCCCACACTGACCTTAGGAGGATGGTAGGCTCCATTGACCATAGATTAGGGTATCTTGAGAGGAACTAGGGTAGAGCTCTCTACCCTATATACGATGATTATACTCGTCAGGGCAACATTCCCGACGATGCTATCTACCCTGACTGGTTTCAGCCTCCACCCCAGGGATACGATAGGGATCCTACTACTCATGGTATTTATAAAGAAAGTGTGTCCTGTTATTATTAAAATATTTCTAAGTTAAGTTGCACTCCTAATTGTCTAAATGAAGTATTATTATTATTATTATTATTATTATTATTATTATTATTATTATTATTATTATTTTTTTATTTTATTTTTTTTTTTTATTTTTTTTTTTTTTTTTTGAGAACAAATGAAGTATTACTTGGTTATTGCATTGGTTGGGTTATTAAGTTTGAATGTGGTCAAAAACTGGATGGGTCAAAGATCATCACCTTTTATTAGGCCAAAACATGTTAGTCCCATACGATTTCTTAGACATGTCCCGTCAATAGCATGGTAATAGGGAGAATAAGATATCAAGAAAAGATAGTGAAGGAGAAAGAGATTTAAGTACTTGTAAATACTAAATGTGTCATTTCTTCTTATGTTATCTATTTTGGATTTCGATAGAAGTTTATTAATGTTTTAACCTTGTTCAATAAGAATCTTTAAGCATGATACAAAGCCTATACTCATCTGTCAGAAGATATTAAGGTATCCTTTCCAATAACCTTGCATCAAATCACAATCCCACATCATACAAAAGTATAATATTTTGCTAGTTGTCTTTGACTATAAACCACGACACATATATATATAGTTATATACATCCACTTTTTATTTATAAAAGTACTACATTAGTTTTGATTATGCTAAGCATATTAAATGCTACGTATTAGCTAATTATTTTCAATTTCAATTTCAATAGAGAAAAATGAGGTCATCATACCTTAAGTAAGACAGCATCAGCATGAGGAATAGCCTTAAACATATCACCAGCAACAAAGTTGACGTTGCTACCATCCTTTTGTAACCCTCCAACCACTTGTGGTAAATCAAGTACACTGCACTTCAGCCATGGGAAAGCCTCAGAAATGGCCTTAGCTGTCGCTCCGTTACCACCACCGACGTCGATAAACGACTCAACTCCTTCAAGTAAGCCTTTTAAAACATTGTTAGAGACCAACAAGCTTGTAGCAAACCAAGAGTCACTTTCCATGGCCTTGTTAAAGATATCATTAAATTCCGAATCTTTGCCAGCTAATTCCCAAACACTCTTCCCATGAGCGATATGGAAAGAAAACTCAGCCTCGGTTTTGAACCAACTACTTAAATTATGAGACAAATCAGTAAGCCGTGGATCAAGAATTCCAACAACAAAAGGAGCTTGCGAAAGAGGGTGTTCTTTCAACAGAAGTTGGGAGCTCAATGTACGAGCAAATCCTTCTTCGCCGTTGGCTAAAGTTTTCATAGAGAAGAATTTGGAGGATACAAGAAGGCGCATTAAGCGCGAAAGAGAGGTAATTTTGTTAGGGAGGATAGGAAGTGAATTGGCTAGCTCTTTAAGAGTCATTGGTTTGCCATGTTTATGAATGGTGTCTGGAATGCCTAGTTCAATTGCGCATTTTAAGGCCATGGATTTGAGAAAGTAGAAAACATGACTCCATATATGAGCTTGTGCATCTAATAGTTGCCCTTTTGCTTTTTCTTCGTGATAGATGGCTGGATCCATTTCTTTTACAATTTATTTGGAAGGTTTGATGGTAAAATAGTAGTATACTGTAATACCAACACCTTAATATATAGTAGTTTGGTAGTCTAAATAAATTGTTAATCCGTAAAATTTATTTTAATTTAGTAAAAAATTATGTATGTTCAGTAAAATAATAGGAAATTTTGACAATTACCACCTTTTGTTATGTCCATTTTAGCAATTACCACCTTCTATTTTTTTTTTTTTTTGAAAATTACCACCTTTTACTTTTAAAAACATCAAAAGTTACCACTTTTTTGCCCCCCAACTATTACATGACGTCATTTTGGGCCCATTCTTTTCCTTCCCTCCCTATTTCCCTCACATATCTCATTCCTATTTGGATTCTCATCTTCCCTTTCACTTTTTTCCCCAAACCACCAATATTTGTTCGTCAATTTTGATTTGGAGGAGTGAATTGAAGTGTTTTTGATTGTTTGGGGGAAAAAAAGTGAAAGGGGGGATGAGAATCGAGTTAGGAATGAGAAATGTGAGGGAAGTAGGGAGGAAAGGGAAAGAATGAGCCCAATATGACGTCATGTGGTAGTTGGGAGGCAAGAAGGTGGTAACTTTTGATATTTTTGAAAATAGAATGTGGTAATTTTCAAAAAAAAAAGATATAGAATGTGGTAATTGCTAAAATGGACTAAACAGAAGGTGGTAATTGTCAAAATTTCCAAAATAATACTAGTAGTTGTTGTTATACTTCTTCTTTAGGCTAGATGGCCGGATCCATTTCTTTAACAATTGGAAAGGTTTTCAGAAAATGGTAGTGGATCACTAACAACTTTATAAAAGTTTGGTCTTCTAAATAAGTACTGATTTGGGCAAAATACGCGGGCTACGTGACCCAATTAGAAGGCGACATGTGTCATCCTAGGAGAGGCCCCAAAGGGCCAATCAGTGGCTGACGCGTGACATCCCCTATCACCAACAAGATACACAAAACATCGAACAAATAACCAACGAGACACACAAAACATCAAACAAATGACCAACAAGACACACAAAACATCGAACAAATAACCAATAAGCCGCACAAACCATTGAACCAACCACCACCAGGCGCACAAAATACCAAACAAACCCACAAACCTATTAACTCACGAAGAAACTCTGATCTAGAAAATCCTTGAACCCACTAACCCTCAAAACCACCGAATCAACGAAAAGCCAGAGATTTGGAAAAATAATGGGAATGGGATTGGAGAAGGATAGAGAAAAGTAATGGGGATGAGTGTTAAACTAAAGGAAATATTGGAGAAAACGACTTTAGCTTTGTATTGATCATAAACTCATATATATACACAATACATAAGGAAACTTAATTAGCCTAAAACTCCTAACCCGATAAAATTAACATAAATTCAATATTAACATAAATACACCAAAACCAACTCTAATACTCCCCCTCAAGTTGGATCATGTAGATCACGAATGCCCAACTTGCGTAAGAGAAAACCAAAATGTTGACGTCCAAGAGCCTTGGTGAAAATATCTGCCAACTGATGACCTGTCGAAACATATGAAGTAGAAATATTACCGTTTATCAACTCATCACGAACAAAATAACAGTCTACCTCTATATGTTTCGTACGTTCATGAAACACCGAATTCTTAGCAATATGCAAAACCGACTGATTATCACAAAACAACTGCATAGGCTTTGAATGCTTAACACCAAGAATAAAAAACAACATTTTCAACCATTTCAACTCACGAGACGTGAGAGCCATAGACTAGTATTCAGCTTTAGAGGAGGATATGGCGACATTAGGCTGTTTCTTAGTCCTCCAAGAAACAGGGGAACGACCTAAGAAAACAAAATAACCTGACAAAGAACGCCGAGACAACGGGCACGCCGCCCAATCACTATCACAAATTTCCGTCAAGCGTAAATCCGTCGTAGGTTGCAACAAAATACCTTGTCCCGGACTACCCTTAAGGTAGCGTAAGACACGAATGGTCGCATCCCAATGTGAAATCTGTGGAACACTCAAAAACTGTGCCAAAACATGTACTGAATAACTCAACTCTGGTCGAGAGACCGACAAGTAAACAAAACGACCAACCAAACGACTATACTGTTCCGAATGAGCGAATGGCTCACCTGATGCATGTGCAAAACGATGATTTTGCTCAATCGATGTGTCAATGGGTTTACAACCCAACATTCCTGCCTCTGTCTAAATATCTAGAGCATATTTTTGTTGAGAAAGAAAGATGCCCTCCGGACTCCGAGCAATCTCGATGCCTAAGAAATACTTAAGAAAACCCAAATCCTTCATATAGAAGCATTTGCATAAATAGGCTTTGAACCTAACAATAGCATCATGAGAGGAGCCAGCAATAACCAAGTCATCGACATATACTAAAACATGCAAAGAAACACTACCCTGTCCATAGCTAAATAAGGAGTAATCAGCATATGAGTTTTTAAACCCAAAACCTCGCAGAGAACTCGACAACTTTGAGAACCACTGTCTCAGGGCTTGTCTCAAGCCATATAAAGATTTCCGCAACCAGCAAACTTTGCCAGGTGTCGGAGTACCGTACCCTGGAGGAAACTGCATATACACTTCTTCATCCAAATCACCATGTAGAAAAGCATTATGGACATCCATCTGATGTAACACCCAATTCAATGACACATCAACAACTAAAAATACGTACCATAGCCATCTTTGCAACTGGAGCAAACGTCTCATTATAGTCAACACCTTCAACCTGCCGGTTGCCATGAACCACCAAATGAGCTTTGAGACGTTCCACCTTTGATTTGTCGGTGTACTTAATTTTATACACCCAACCACTACTAATAGCCTTCTTACCAGGAGGAAAATCCTCAATGGTCCATGTGCCATTATGCTCTAGAGCGTCAATCTCATCTTGCATTGCCTTACGCCAACCGACGTCTTTAACTGCCTCTTTAAACGAAGACGGTTCCTTTCCCTTAGTAATCGTCGCCAAAAAAACACATGTGTCTCATAGAAAAACAATTATATTCAACATGGTAAGCTATAGGGAAAGGTTTACCTGAGGAATATGATTGAGGAGGGACGACAGTTGATGTATATGGGTCTATATTTTCAGTAATGATAGTATGAGATTACGATGCCACGAAGAAGGACGTTTTTCACGATGACCACGACCCAAATTATTCGACAAACTCCCCCTCAAGTATTCAAATTCACGCTCTGCAACACTAGAAGATCGCGTATTACAATTATCGAAACGAGTAAAACCACTAGTATCCATATTTTCTTGCTCACAAACCACATTGGAGCGAAAACCATCACCGGAACCACCTCCGGTAGGCTGACCGGAGCCCACCGGAGGCACCACACGCCTGGAAGCCACCTGCCCAGGCTGGGCAGCAGCCTGCTGCTGCTCGCCTGTACTGCCAACACTGCTCGGGGTGTGTTGGGCAGACTGTTGCTGTTGTGCGTCTTCACTGCCAGCTCCCCAGGCTGTAGCACCAGGCTGTTGGGGGTGTCCAGGACTAGCACCTGCTGGCCTCGGCATGCGGGGGTGCTGTTGGGTTGGCTAGGCAAACCCCTCCGCGGTATGGCTGTGGCTGAGCTCGGTCTAACGCGGCTAGGTTGCGGACCCTGCTGGTCGGGATATGTTTGCAGCAGCGTTTTCCGCATCAATTACAAAAGACTTGTCTTCAACATCATCCCAAATAGGGGGATTTGCTAAGTATCGTTCCCACTGTGAACGACGTGCATCGAGGAGCAATTTAAGATACGGAAACTTGTCTTCAAAAAATTACACATCCCGACTAACAAAAAACTCATTTGTATCTAAATCATAGAGACGCCAACCCTTCTTTCCATAAGGATAACCTACAAAAATACACTTCCAAGAGCGAGATTCAAATTTATCTTTAATCCGAGGTCGATTAGCATAAGCAAGACAACCAAAAACCCAAACGCTATCATAAGACGGCACTTGACCAAACAAACACTCATGAGGGGTTTTCTTATGAAGAACCGGAGTCGGAGTCCTGTAAATCAAATGAACAGCAATCATAACAGACTTACCCCAAAAATACTTAGGCAACTTTGCTAGAAATCGAAGGGCACGAGCCACATTGAGAATTTGACGATGTTTACGTTCAACTCTACCATTTTGTTGAGCCGTGTCAACACACGACGTTTGATGCAAGATACCCTTCTGTGCAAAGAAAGACCCAAAACTAAGAAACTCTTGACCATTATCACTACGAACAACTTTCACCTTACGACCAAATTGAGTTTTAGCCAAAGCACAAAACTCACGAATCAACTATGACGCTTCGTATTTTCCACCCATAAAAAACACCCAAGTAGAACGAGAAAAATCGTCAACAATGGTTAAGAAATACCGAGCACCACTACTAGACAAAATCTTATTCGGACCCCAAATATCACAATGAATCAAATCAAATATACCAGATGCTCTATTCGTACTCAGTGGAAAAGAGTTGTGGGGTTTTTTCCCCATAAAAAAATGTCACAATCAAATAAACAACTAAAGGAACCACTATAACCATGAGTACCACGAGAAAAACCCGGAAGAGAACTAACCACTTGCATCGATGGATGACCAAGACGTTTGTACCATAACAAACTCGCATCTGAAATCACCACTTTGTTTGCATGTGGATTCCGAGCACGAACCAACCGAAAAATATAGACCCCATCACACTGCTCCCCTGCTCCAATCAGGTTCCTCAAACTGCTGTCCTGAATAATGCATAGCTTGTCAGTGAACATAACAAAATAGGATAGTTTTTCTAACAGTTGAGACACAGACAACAAGTTGCATTTAAGAGCAGGAACATAAAGAACATTATCAAGAGTTTAATTATTAGACAGAATAACTCTCCTTTTCTTTTGTAGCAGTAGTGCTCTTCCTATTAGGCAAACCAACAGGAGGTAAAATATCAGATAAATTCGTGAATAAATCAATATTACCAGACATATGATTTGAAGCCCCAGTATCAATGAGCCAATCAACAGAATTATAGTTCTGAAGAGACGACGAACTCGAGCGCTAAACGACAGCTAGATTGAGCCAATAATAGGAACACTCCTACGATCTGCGTCAATAATAGACTCAAATGCACAGTTAGATTGAGCCCCCATTAATCAGAGCACCAATCTAACTCAATCAACAAACCAACTTAACAAGAGTAAAAACCCAGTAACACAATGAAGCACCAACCACACGCACAAAAAAAAAAAAAATCACCAGACTAGCTCAATAAGAAACGGAAATAAGAGCTATGAAACCAACCACACGAATCAAAAGACACGTATTGAAGCACAAATACGATTAAGAAATGTACCACCACAATACACAAACCAAGATAGAAGCACAAGAAACCAACTTGCACCCACTAATTTGAAGACAACAAATAACCAAAATAATTAAGAGGCATGTCACGTAGTAAAGCTTCCCCTTAAAGTGACACAAAAACAGTAGTTGTATATGCTTCCTCAAATAAACCAAAAAGAAGCAAACACCAACCTCAATAATTAGTAGAACGAGAAGAATAATGCACGCACTACTAAGAACAAACCTCCGCAATAGAAGCTGTTGCACTACTCTGGTGTAAATTATGACAAAATTGGGATGTTTCTAACAGCGCCGTCCAATTCCATTGAGAGGTAATCAGATAGTGCCTCAGGTATTCCTCAAGCAGCGCGTTAATACGCTCCGTCTGCCCATGCGTTTGAGGGTGGTTCGCAGTCGAAAATTTCAACTGCGAACCTAACTGGTTAAACAACTGTAACCCGTAAATCGAGTGTCGCGATCACTTATTATATCTTGGGGAAGGCCAAAGTACTTGACCACGTTCCTAAAGAACAGCTCCGCGGCTCTGTAACACCCCCATATTATTCTCTAATATTAACAATAATAATCCAACTTTAAGGAGTAACTTGGGAGTATTACCACCACGTGATTACGCAAGGCTTAACAGAGTTTTGCAGCGGAAAATAGTACTTATCTTTATTTAATAATAGTAATAGTTTTAAAATACTTCCAAAGTAACTACAACACTAATACTATGTTTACTAAGTTAAACTAGGTGATCACCGCCCATCGTCCCCAATGTAGCATATAATTTACGTTGTTCGATCGCCATCACCTATCTACTCATCAAAATGATGAGTAGGGCAAAGCCAAAACAAAACAAATACGTATTAGCCAAAATGCTAAGTACATACAAATGCTAGACATGTAAATCGATTTAATTAATTAAACATGCTTTCGAAGAGATTTAACTTTAATAAATCATAATTTATCCAAACCATTCATGAATAGAAATTCATGTATAAAAGCTTGTCAAAAGAATCAATTTCTGAAATAACCAACTTTCCAAAGATAATTCCTCATAGGGTGGATTAATCCATATTTTCATTAACCATTTTCTCATCTAAGTGTGCACACCCCCCAAGCTAGTCACTCCTTTACATAGTGATATCAAGGGGAAATAGTAGGTCATACAAAGTCCATAGTGTTCAACTTACTCCGCATAGTGGGAGTTAAAAATCCAAAAATCCAAGGAGTAAATCCTGTTAAATAAACTTTCCAATATCCCATACTCGGGATAATTTAAACAATAAAACTTCCTTTTTAAAACATCTTGAATATCAGTACAAGTTTATAATCAACCATATGATATATTTAAACATTTGAGATCAAACACTTAAAACATGTTTCACCGAAATATTTCACAATCATTTAAACATTGTTCGAAATCACTTAACATGTAAATCACTTTGCATATAGAAGTCACTTTTTAAAAGATCTAGCCACGTGTACGTACCTTGATCCTTGCATACAAGTACGGAACTTCTAATTTCGAACCCGAAATTCCTCCTATAACAAACCAATAGTTCTAATCAAATATTTTTCAACTCATAGACACAAGGAATAAAATACCAACTTTACTAGTTGTGCATGAACAATTGATTAATTTAACCCTTTTATAATTTAATAGTTACTTTTATAAATCAATTTTTAAAAATCCATCAAGGTAATAATGATAATAATTGTAGTGGTTTGGAGTATATAATATGAGTAGTACATAGTGGTAGTAGTAGTATTATACGTAGGTAGTAGACGTATAGTAAGCATTAGTAGTAGATAACTAGATATTACAAGTAGTAGAATGTTACTA